AGGGGAAGTTAATATATTAAGATAAAAGTGAAAAGATTTGATATCCTTCTTTAAAGATACGCTTGTAACTGAGTTCTTGGGTCGTAATTTGGAGAAGAGCGAAGTACAAATTGCATTTCTTTTACGGAAATTCTTTCGCTATAAGTTCGCAAAATTACTACTACTAGTCGCCCAGATCCTAGTTTTCACGTGCCTTGCAATAAACGCTATTCCACCACTGTATCGATCTATTTTGCTCATGGTATCGTCATCATTTGTAAGTTGTTATTGCATGAAAAAATTTCCCTTTGTTCTGTCCACATTTACGACATATGCCATAAAGAACTGAAGTAAGTGATCTTAAAAATGGAATTTTATTTCTCATTTAAATACCATATCGTGTTATGAAATCCTGAAAATAGGTGACTTGTTGGAGAAGTGAATTGATCTCGTTTTCGCTACTTTGTTTTGTTGTCAGGGCGACTTAGTTGGACGCGCTTTGTCTGGAGCCCTCTGCTATAGTAGTTATCATAATTCCCAACGTTCATGTACTTGGCACATTCCCATATATTTTAGTTTTCTTTTTTACATTCTATTCTGAGCCTCAGACATGCATTAAGTTTTTGCATTAACTCCTTTAAAGCCATATTTACAATGGTCGATTCAGTTTAACTTTATTATTTTCCTGGGGATTTTATACTTAACTTTGTTTGCACAATTATAATTTGATATGTATTCACCTTATTTCGTTTAAGTGGATAAAGAACTGACAGTTTAATTTTCCCACTATGATATAAGTAGATTTTACGTTTTCTTTTAATTTCAGTCTTACTTCACATAAGGTATTCTCCCCCAGGCAGGAGCGGACTCGCCTTAGTTTTATAAGTATCTTAAGTGAGACTTGAACCGTGATAATGCAGCATATAATTTCTACTTATTACCCACTGTATTTGCTATAGCAAATACAACTTTGCTTAGTCGATAATTACACCTCTGAATGTGGTATGGGAAAATGACTGCCATTCCCTGAAATTCATGTCTGCCTTGTGACCAAAGGGTACTCATGAAAATGTGGTATAGTGGTTAACGTGTAGAGAATGTACTCTGCATTGTCATGCTCCGAGTCCCGCTGGGGGTGCTGACGAGGTTATTTTGGGCGAGTTCGAAACTGCAGTCCACTCTGTCCAGGATAAAAATACCTTTTAAATTTATATATAATGCAATTGCTGGGCGGAAAAATAACCGCCCGAAGCGAAGACGTACTTTTTCTGAGGAATTTCTCATTATATATTTTGCAAAAGTTTGATCCTTGCTTAATCATTATCAGCGCTGCAGACTAAGTCTTTTTCCTTTTTCATAATACAGGTCACGCATAACCTCCGGTCTCGCCTACCTGAGGCATTTGGGCCACGCAGCTTAAATGGTGCCATACTATCCAAACTACAAACTTACACACTGCAGTCGAGTTTCGTGTTCCCGAGGATAGCTAAGATCGGGAGCCATGACGGTTGCTTGCCTGCCCCTCCTTCCTCTTCCACGAATGCAACCGATACAGCTGCATTTGAAGCTATGGTTGAGAACGGCAGGGGGCCTATATGCCCGGGTCAGCTGCTCTGCCGTCTGTTGCTGTTGCGCCACGGCCTGATGCATCCCTCTCTAGTCTCCATTCGGAAGTCAGAGAGGCTTTCTTTTGAGGCCTACGCTAAACTCAGACAGCATTTTCTGGCTAGAATGGCCCAGGTTTTTTAGAGTTTTTGTTAAACTAAATTATTGCATTATTTGATTCTAATCAATTTAACAATGATTTCTTCTTATTTTAAGTGTAATCATACCTTTATATTTATTAATCCCACTAAGCTCTGATTGTCCTCATTAACCATAATGTTCAAAGTTTGATCCAATCCAGATGACTATGTTTATGGGATAAGCATTTCCAGAGCTTCTTACAATAATCAAACATCTCTGAATCGCTTGTTTCATGCCATATTTGCAAGCTGGATAGCTGCTATGACAACATAAGTTTAGGAAT